TTTTCTGAGTATCTTACCATTTTAATACAGATTATGCATGAAGTACTCTGTAGAGCAGGGCTTTTCAACTTTATTTTGTGAATTTCCCACAATTAAATAAAAGGTGAAAACTTCAATAGAAATGGGGACAAAATACACAGAAAAGAAAATTTCCAGTCTCCTTTTTCTTAATGTATAGTTTATAAACTTTATTTTTAAATGGGAAAAGTAATGCAAACAAAGTTGTTTTTATAAAATTTTCTGAGTATCTTACCATTTTAATACAGATTATGCATGAAGTACTCTGTAGAGCAGGGCTTTTCAACTTTATTTTGTGAATTTCCCACAATTACATGTATGATTACGTGTATGTGTACACAGCTACATTCTTCTAGGGATAGGACCCATAGTTTTCAATGGATTTTTAAATGTTAAGAACTACCAGCTTAGAAAGGTGTTTGTTTAAAGACAATACCTACTGAAATAATATATTTCCTAAAGATTAACTTAAAACCTATTACATAGCATTAGGAAGCAATTCTTCCTTTCATTCTTTTTATTGCTGAAAATATAACTTACTGTTGCAAGTTTCTTCACTGCCACAGTTGTGTTGTGCACGAAGCCTTTATACACAACTCCAAATCCGCCCTCTCCCATTTTATTACCACCAATAGATATGGGTCGTTCATCGAAGTTATTTGTGACATTCTTCAATTCACAAAATGAAAAGTTATGAAAACCTATAATAAGGTTAATAAAATAAGAAAAAAATTTCTTAAACAAAAAAGAAATTTCTTTTAATAATTTCAATATTTTCTCATTTGAAGATTTCATATATACGTAAATGTTTATAATTTTAGATTAGGCAAGATGGGAGAGGGCAAAACCATTTTGAAAACACAAATTGTAAGTCTGATTTTGAGAATTCTGTTTATTGATCCTACCCTCCAAACACTGTAGTCACTCACCCAAAATTCTAGTAACATATTTGGGTGGGTCTAGTCTACCCACCCAAAACTCTAGTCATATATTTTATTTTTTAAAAAGTGATTCTTTCAAGTTATATAAATATTTACTTATTTTTTTTCATAGCTTCTGTGGTTGTTTGCAAGTCCTATTGCCTCTAATCACTGATAACATACTAATTAATACAATGAAGATGGTACTTAATAAATCAGAAGAGGAAAAACCCACAAAAGAGCTACTGCCAGTGTGCCTCTGACTGCTGTATAAACAAAAGAAGGAGAGTTTCATTTTAAAGCAGTGATAGTCTTAATGACAAATCCACTAGTGGAAAGCACTGAAAACATTACTTACGTGTATCACTAACTTCTAAACTTTTATTTTCTGGACTTGAGGAGTCAGAGGGTGTAAAGTTTTGTTCAAAATTCTGCACAGGTCTCACAGATGTCCTGTCTTTGCCATAGAAAGGCATCTGCGTCTGCTGAACTGTTACAGCTTCTTTACAAGGCAGCTTGTTAATGGTTCTGGGGACAGCATCTGTCAAATGAAGTAAGATACAAGTTGTTCTTCCATAAGAAAAAGTGTTTGTGAAAAAGTTAAACTAGAAACTTGGTTCATTTAACATCATTCAAGTTTCTACAGGGTGGCCCATATTTTCACAGCATACACAAGACGCTACCTAGACAGAATATGTAAGTTGTGATAAAGATGTATAGGGAGGGTAAGGCAGTGTTTTCAAAAAGTGGTCCATGAGCCACCTGCACCAGAGGCACTGAAGCACTTCTTTAAGGACATAGACCTTGAACCCAATTCCAGAATTCTGATTGAGCAGGTCTGCAATAGAGCCCAGGAATCAGCATGTATAAAAAGAACCCAAATGATTCTTATTCACAATAAAGGTTGAGAACCACTGGTATAAATGGCATCAGTGAGGAAAAAGTAAGGTTATGAGGAAAGCGACTAGACACCAACACACTAGAATACAATCTATGGGAATCATGATCATAGAGTCCCGTCAGGATAGAACTTGAAGGTAAAAAAAAGCAAGAGCTCAAAAGAATAATTACTTTCTTACAGCCTAAGCTAGATGCCTGAAGTCTGTATCCTTGTAAACTTCCCAGTGACACAAAATGACCTAACTTTAACAGTAGGATCAGACTCATTCATGAAGCTTTCATCACCTTAACAGCAGAGTCCACAGTGTCCTGTCTGGGGGCCTTATTACAGCCAGGACTCAAGCATTACAAAAATGGTCCATGTAACCTAAAACATTTGCATCCCTTTAATATTTTGAAATTAAAAAAAGTTGGGGAGAGCCGAAAGAATGAAAGGGACTCTCAAGTGTAATGTTTGTCTACTATGAGAAAAAAGTAAGCATAAGAAGAAATGTTTCTATTTCTGCCATTTGTATTTCTACTCTAATTGCTGACACCCTGGTCCAGTTTACCTGGGAGCAAAAGACTTGCAGGAGCAAAAAATTCATTTTGGACCAAAAGATCCACAAGATCACCAACTGTGCAATTTGTGGTACCCCAGTCAAAGAGTAATTCACAAGTGGGACTTTTTCCAGTTTGCAGTAATGCTTCAAATCTCCTTAAAAGCAAGTAACAAAGAAATAAAATTAGTCTATTGTCTTAGTTCATTTGTGCTACTATAACAGAATATCACAGACTGGGTAATTTATAAACAATAGAAGTTTATTTGGCTCACAGTTATGGAGGCCGGGAAGTCCAAGATTGAGGGGCTGCATCTGGTGAGGGCCTTCTTGCTGTACCATTCCATAGTAGAAGAATGGAAGGGCAAAAGAACATGCACATATGAAAGCGAGAGAGAAACCAAGAGGGCGGGGGGAGGGAGAGAGAGAGAAAGAGAGAAAAAGGGGGCTGAACTCATTTTTTTATCAGTAACCCACTCCTGAGACAACTAACCTACTCTGGCCATAAAGGGGACATATTCAAACCATAGCATCTACAAACTGAGTTCATATGAAAATAGGAATTGACCCCCCTGCCCCATCTCACCCACAGCACCTCCTATAATATTAAGGGAAATGAAGAGCAAATGAACAAGCAAGAATTACAAAGAGACAGGAAAGACAGACAGAGGAAAAAAAGATGCCAAAGAGGATAATAAAAGTTAACATTTACTGAGTATTTACTTAGTATGCTACAGGATGCACACACACAAACTTGTTCAAAGAGACTATAATTATCATACTAATCTACTACTGAGAAAGCCAGGCTTAGAGAGGTAATCAGCACCCAGCCACACAGCCAATCTGATGAATTCAAGTAGAGATCCAAATTCAGATCTCACTTGACCTAAGGGTGTGCTCTCAACCTACTTAGTTATATTACTTCCTGTATGACGTATTAACTCTGCTAGCTATATAATTTTAATAAATCATCCTTAATTAAATAAATAGAATATATATAACATTAGGGAATTATTCCTTAATCTTAACTATATTTCAATTAAATTGAAGGAAAAACACAGATTCATTTCATCCCATTGCTTTAAAATTGAAAATTTGTTTTCAAAAGTACATTTAAAAACTTAATCAATATAGTTTTTCTGCTTTTCCTCTAAAGTCTTTATTTTGAAAAACTTCAACCTTACCGAAAAATTGAAAGAATGCTGTACAACCATTTACCCTTTAATTAGATTCACTAATGGAACAATGGATAAAATTTTGCCACATTTGTGCTCTTGTTCATGCTTTCTTTCAATCTGTGCCTCTGGCAGCGGGGGTGGGGGGGTGGGGAGACGTGTTTTAGAGTGTAGGCCAGACGTCTTAGAGAATGTCTCATAGTCTACATTTATCAAACTACTTTCTCACGATTAAATTCAGATTAAAATTTTTGCTAAGAACACTACATAGGTGATAATGTGCTCTTCCCACCATATCACATCCAGAGGTACATAATGGCATTTTGTACCATTACTGGTGATGCTAAAGTTTGATCACTTGGTTAAGATTTCTTCATTATAAAAGTACCATCCCCTTTCATAATTCATAAGTAATGTGGATAATATTTTGAAATCTTGTGCACATCCTGTTCACCAACATTTCACCTCATGCTTTTAGGCTCACCAATGAGCCTTGCATGAATCAATTATTCACCAGTGGTTGCAAATTGGTAACTTTCTAATTCTATTGTTCTTTTAATAATTATTTGCATTATTTTGTAAAGAAGAGCTTTTTCATCCTACTGCCAGTGCCCCAACTATCCTCCGTAAGTTTTTAACTTAATATCAACAAACTGTCTTTAAAAATTGGCTTAC